TTCTTTCTTTCTTTCTTTCTTTCTTTCTTTCTCCCTTCCTTCCTTTCTTTCTTTCTTTTTCTTTCTTCCTTCCTTCCTTCCTTCCTTTCTCTCTCTCTCTCTCTCTCTCTCTCTCTCTCTCTCTCTCTCTTCCTTCCTTCCTTTCTTTCTTTCTTTCTTTCTTTTTTCTTCCTTCTTTCCTTCCTTCCTTCCTTCCTTCCTTTGTATATTCCTGATCAATCTGAGGAAATAAAAAATTATAATAAAATCTAGATTAATAAACACAATTAATAAACACATATTAAAAATGCTTTGACTATGAAAATAAAGTATAATTTTTTTAATTAACTTGTTCAATCCTACCAATCACATTTCACTTAAATTTCAGTACTGCTAATCACATTTTACTACTTAACAGTGGCATGTGGCTAATAGCTACAGTCCAGCACAGCTCTGCCTCATAAGACTTGCTCCAAGGCTATAATTCAGCTTCCCAGTGAGCTGGGCAGGCTGACTTCAAAACACCTAGAAGGAGCAAATAATCTTAGTGTTTCTATGAGTTTAAAAAAGTTAAATCTTAAATCTCTGACTTAAAACAAGGATTACTAGATTTACATAGTTTATGAGAAAGTCAGCCTAAGAAGTTATACCTTTTCAAGCAATGATACATGGTGAAATTGGGGGGGGGGTTAAATTTTGATTTGGTGTATATACTCTGACACTCTGATATTGTAAAGGAATTGGCCTTCAATATGAAATATAATATTTTAAAATATGTTTCCAAAGATTCATAGAAGGATTTAAAAAAGTAAGCTAAAGATTTATAGATCACATCTGTTAAAAGAATTGATAAAGAACTCATAACACAATAGAATATGAATGTCTCAATTTAAAAGTGCATAAAATGCCAGAATTTTACCTGGTATTTATATCTGGCTAACAAGTACCCTGAAATACTGTTATACAAATACTGAAATGAAAATCTGGGACTATGGAATATTAGTAAGCATTTATAGCTGTGAAGGCTTTCATTCATTGTTATTGAAATTCAAACTGGGACAGCACTCTAGAAAACGGTACTTCCTTTTCTTATATAGGTAAATACAGATGCTGGAGCTATAGCAACAGTCCAGTGTACTCACTGTAAGTGAAACATGAGCAGCTGAGAAGCAGAGAATGGAACAACGTATTATCATGAGGGTATCATAACTTCTACATCAGTGGATCTCAACCTTCCTAACACTGTGACCCTTTAGTACAGTTCCTCATCTTGTGTTGATCCCCAACCATAAAATTAATTTCATTGGGACTTCATAACTGTAATTTTGCTACTATTATGAATCATAATGTAAATATATGTTTTCAATGGTCTTTGGTGACCCCTGTGAGTGTTCTTTGACCCCCCAAACAGGACATGTCCCACAGGTTGAGAACTGCTGTGATATTTTGTATATGCTCTAACAAATAAGCTTGTCTGAAGATCAGAGGGCAGAGCCAGCCACAGAGGAAACAAGTCACAGCCATTAGCCATAGAGGTTGGGCAGTGATGGCGCACACCTTTAATCCTAGCACTCGGAGACAGAGGCAGACAGATCTCTGTGAGTTCAAGGACAGCCTGGGTTAATCCAGACTAAAAGAGAAATCCAGTCTGGCAGTGATGGCTCATGCCTTTAATCCCAGTACTTGGGAGTCACACGCCTTTTTTCCATCACTAGGAAGGCTGAGATGGGAAGTGATATAACTGGGCAGAGAAAGGAATATAAGGCAGGTGGAGACAGGACTCAGGGGCATTCAGTCTCAGGATTTGTGGAGACAGAATCTTCCCCTTTTGGCTGAGGATTTCATAGAGGTAAGAACTAGTGAATGACTTCTTTCTTCTGATCTTTCAGTATTATCCCTGATATCTGGCTCCATGTTTTTATTAAGAAGACCAATTTGTGCAACAGTTTCCATCACCTGGACATTACTTTTAAAGTGATCGAAACTGTCTAAAATCACAAACAGAACTATTATAATTAGAAATCATTTATATACCCTCTTTACATAATTCCATTTCTATGTAATTACCCTAGTGAAAAGAATACTCATTTTACTAGAAATGTGTGTAAATATTCATAGCAACTTAGTATTTATTCATAAAAATTTGGAAATAACCAAAATTTTGTTAGGTGCAGTAACACATGCCTGTAACTCTTGCATTCAAGAGTCTGAGGCAAGAGAAAATGTCAGAATTTTACCTTGTAATTATAGAGGGCAGTGTGGAAAATTCAAACTCAGCTTGACCCATACAGTGCACCTTTGTTTCCAATAAACTAACAAACAAACAAATGCTGCATTTAATTGCTAAACTGAAAAACAAGCTGGAATATCAATAGCATATTATTCAAATATAGAAAAGAGCTATTGATTTCATGACTATAATAAACATTTCTATTTTGTTTTCAATACTGAGAAATGAATCAAGGGCTTTGTGCTTGCTCTTCCACTGAGCTGTCTTCACAGGCCCCCATATATAAATCCCAAATCCATTTCTGCAAGTAAAACAGGGAATCCCCAAATGTCTAAGTACTGTGTGATATCAAGTATCTAAATTCAGGAAAAAAGGAAAAACTGAGACAGAAAGAAGCATTATATATTTGAATGTTTAGAGCCATTAGTGTTTTGTTTTCACTCATCCACACCTGTTTCCATCATAAACCCTGTTTCATTTTATTCATGACTTTGTAATGGTTTCATTAAGAGGTTATTCAAAAGTCTTTCTGTGTGTGTGTGTGTGTGTGTGTGTGTGTGTGTGTGTGCTGTGCATTTCTCCTCTGCTGTCTGGTGAATAATATGCACTTACAATACTTGTGTTGAATTTCTAAGCACATTTCCATGAGACACACTTTGTTTTCAATTAAGAAGAGCCAGAGTTTCTTAAGAAGATTGCAATTTCAGGAGTAATTGGAAACCTGGGAAAGACTGTTTGGGGGGGGGGAGGGCTCTGCTGTCCCATGGTTGATAATGTGTGTCTTTCCTATATTAGGACATAATTTCTATTGTAAAAGTAGGTGAATATACAGACAGTTCCATAAGGTATAA